CAAAGCGTATTAAAGCAAGAAAAAAGAACAACAAACTGTCCAAACTGAAAACGCCGCCATGATGACCAGAAATACGAGAGAGACTGGAAGTGATTGTATGAATTGGTACTTAGTCCTACTCAGCCAGCCACTTTCACCAACATGGCGGTTTTCCTTTGTTTTATGTAGTTCCAATTTTCTGGAGAAAAATTTAGTGTAAACAAGTGATCAAATGTCAAATCGAAAGGCAATTAAACGTAGAAGACAGACTGGGGAAGATGATGATTTCTCTCCGTCAGTTGTCCCACAAAAGAAACGATCAAAATCACAAACTGGATTTGACAACAATGTCGACAGTCCTCAAGGAAGTCTTTCTCTCGGTGACGGTGATGCAGGCGTCAGAAGGTCATCAAGGACTCCAAAACCTAAAGTGTTTGATGATGAAGAAACTTCAGTAATCAGTAGAACTCCGGACGTGTCTTCAAATTCAGGCGATTCTAGTTTGATTCATAAAGGGGAATCTTGTTCATTTTATTCCTCTTCATCAACAAACCTTCAACAAACAACGTCGACAAGCGACGCTTCAATTTATAGGAAACAAAGAAAGATGGTTACGTATGATGACGGCCATAAAAGAGAAACGAGGCGCAGTTATCAAGATTTCCTGAAAGAACTCGAAACAGAATCAGCTGTTTCAAGTAAACAAACAAAGGAGCAGATTCAAGACACAGGTCGAGCTGGGCAAAGCAGCGTTGGAAAGATGACAAAAAATATTGCTTCAAAGAGAAAATCCGACGGAAATGTAACCCCTAAGAACCCTGGAGTCATGATGACTCCAAATGACAAAGGTCCCTCAAACACAAAGGTCAAGAAAGAAACCCCAGATGAGGCCTCACCTAAGGTGAGGTCTTCATCAAGGACCCCTGTACCAAAAAGGGTCTTCTCCTTACTGGAAGAGGAGGAAAATGTTGAGGTAAAATCAAGAATATCAGGCTCCTCTGTTGCTGAAAGTGAAACTGTAGATTCAAGTTTGACTAACGTAAGGTCTTCATCAAGGGGTCATGTGCCAAAAAAGAATTTTCCTTTACTTGAGAAAGACAGCGTTGATGCAAAGGAATTCAAACAAACTACACCAGAGCAAACACCTTCAAAGACAAGGACTCCAAAACTTGGTATCAAGAGGAGGTTATCAGCGGCAGAAGAAAGAAGTCAGCAGAATGTGCAGGATCCGCCAAAGAATGCATCAGCAACTACCAATGAGCCCTCACCAAAAGTTAGAGTTTCTTCACGTGGCCACATGCCAAAGAGAACTTTCTCACTTCTAGAAGGTGATGAAGGTACAGATGAAACTACAAGAGATGTTGGTCTTCCAGAAAAAGTACATGCAGGTGACAGAAGTATCTCAAGGACTTCAGCTGAGGATCAAAGAGACGGTGTCACAAGAGAGCTCAAGAAACGGAGAAGTAGTAATGGACAACCAATCAGTCATACAAGTAAGCAAAAATCTTCTCAAGAGGGTGTAAAATGGGCTTCTGTTTTTGGAGGTGAAATATCAGATGGCAAAGTATTTGAAGGGTTAGAAGTTGATAAGACAGAAATAAAGACTCAAAGTCCATCCAAGTTGACTCACAAAAGGAAACGCTCAAGTGATGTGAAAGAAGAAAATGATGAAGGAAGTTCTGGTAGACATAAAAGTAAACCTGTGAAGAAAAAGGTTACTTCCACAGAAAAAAACCCTGCTTCAAGGCAAAGTGCAGGCAGTGTTAAAGTCTCAGTAAAATCAGAGCCGGTCTTTTATAGTGAACCTGTGGAAACACCCAAGGGTGCCAAAGCAAAGACATCAAATAAAAAGAAGCAAGAAAGTGATATGTCTGCAAAGCAAAGTCCGTCAGTGAATAAAGATTCGACAATAAAACAGGAGAGTATGGACTCAAAAAGAGATGCATTTTCATCAAGTGACATTGCCAAGCAAATTGCTGATGGCGCAGGAACTTCTTCTGATGTAAGCACTAGTGGTTTGAAGGATAAGAGAAAAGGATTGGCTGGCAAAAACAAACGAGGAAAAGATGAGAAAGTTAAGAGGAAGGAGAAGAAATCAGAAAAAGATGTGAGTAATTCTGGAAGTGAATCTGCTGAAAAAGAGCCAATTGTTTTAAAGTTGCATCTTCCTCAAACTGAAGATTCAACGAAGCACAAAAAACATCACCATCATCATCATCACCACCACCACCATCATCATCACAAACACAAACATTCTTCAGGAAGCCATGATGATGGCTCTCCCAAAAAATCACATCACAAGAAATCTGTAGCAAAATCATCTGAAAATAATACAGAGGCTGATGAAAGTAAAAAGGCAGAAAAAAAGAAGAAAATATCCATCAAATTTAAGGGTCTGTCTTCCGAGAAGATTGATCTTGAGATGGCTGCTGATAGCCCTGGACTAATGCAGAGTGCAGGACTTAGTGAAGCAGAGAACAGCGAAGTCAAGACCACAAAACCCACTAAGGAAAAAGACAAAAAGAAAAAGAAAACAAATGCAGATGGCCCTGGACTAATGCAGAGTGCAGGACTTAGTGAAGTGGAGAACAGCGAAGTCAAGTGTACAAAACCCGCTAAGGAAAAAGACAAAAAGAAAAAGAAAGCAAAGGCAGATGGCCCTGGACTAATGCAGAGTGCAGGACTTAGTGAAGTGGAGAACGGTGAAGTCAAGTCTACAAAACCCGCAAAGGAAAAAGAGAAAAAGAAAAAGAAAACAAATGCAGATGGCCCTGGACTAATGCAGAGTGCAGGACTTAGTGAAGTGGAGAACGGTGAAGTCAAGTCTACAAAACCCGCAAAGGAAAAAGAGAAAAAGAAAAAGAAAGCGAATAAGACAGATTTGTCGTCACCTCAATCTGACAGTGAACATGTAAAATTAGTGATTAAGAAAGACAAGCTTCCATCAGGCTCCAAAGCTGCAGAAAAGAAGACAAGTGGCCAGCCGACAACTTCGCAAGCTAAATCAGGTAATCAGAAAAAGAAGGCAGCTCCCTCAACAGGTAGTACAAAAGGAAAGGCAAGTGCAACTCCAAAAAAAGGCAGCAAGACTCCAGAGGTATGTTGAACTTGTAATCAATCATATTGTTGGGAAGGAAGGTAACCTGGTAGCAGAGCCTTTCTTCCACTTGCTTGATTTTGGCATACTCAAGAAAGACTGCATCAATTGAGTTAGATAGCATATGCAACTTGTTGCTGGGATACAGTCTTGAAGCCTGGCCTAATAGCCCTGTGCTTGGTA